TCTTTTCTGGCAATAACTTCCAGACCCCCCCCCCCCCATTTTATTTATTATATTTACTTTATTCATATGCTGCCTTTCTCCAAGGAAGGGACCCAGGGTGGCTTCCAGAACAACACATTTGTTGTTTACAAAACATTTTAAAACCCATTTTTAAATCCCTACATTAAAACACTATAAAACTGTTCAAAACTCATACAGCTGACCCTGCATATGTGCGGATTCTTTATCCATGGATTCAACCGTGGATTGAAAATATTTCAAAAAGATATCGATTCCAAAAAGCAAACCTTGATCTTACCATTTTATGCAAAAGGATCTTGTAGCACCTTTCAGACTAGCTGAAAGAAAGAAGTTAGTAGCATGAGCTTTCATAGACTTGAGACTACTTCTCAGATGCATTTGGTGGAGACTCATGGCTACAGAAGCTCATGCTACCAACTTCTTTCTTTCAGTTAGTCTTAACAGTGCTACAAGAACTCTTTGTAAATCTATTTCCAGACTAATACAGCTAGGTTGCTGAAGTTTACCATTTTATATAAAGAATACCATTGTATATAATGGGACTTGAGCATCCATGGATTTGGGGGTCCACAGGGAGTCCTGGAACCAGGACCCACTGTACAAAAGTTAAAAACAAATAAGGCATACATTTCCTTGCTTAACCATCAAAAGCCTGCATAAACAGAAAGGTTAAGGTCTGATTTTGAAAGGAAAACAGGGCGAGGGCCAGCTTAGCCTCCTGAAGAAGGGAGTTCCAGAGGTTGGGAGAAGCCACTGAGGAAGTCCTGTCTTTTGTGTCCTTACCATGTGATGATGGTGGAACCAAGACAAAGCCTTCCAACCATCTTGTCTGGACAATTCTGGGAGCTGTAGTCCTCAAATATAACCTTTTCAAGCCTTCTTCTCTCCTATATAGCAATAGCAATAGCATGTCCATTTCTATACTTATCAGTGAACTGAGCATTCTCTATGTGGTTTACAATCTGTAAGCCAATTGCCACCAACAAGCTGGGTACTCATTTTACTGACCTACAAAAGGATGGAAGGCTGAGTCAACCTTGGAGCCCCTGGAATTGAACTCACAACCTTGTGGCTGCATTTAATCACTGCACCACTGGGGCTCCCTCCATATTATGGGAAGATGTAAGTCAATGTGTCTGGATGACAGGGATTAGTCAGATCCTTCATGCCATCTTTGTTTCTCTGGCTTGTTTCTTTGATCAGCTTTTGGGTTTTCTTTCTGCCGCCCCCCAAGGACCTTTTGCCAAAGGCTGAGCAAGGTTGGAAACAGCACGGTGAGGTTGTGTGTGTGTGTGTGTGTAGAATTGCTCCTTGCAAGGCATAAGAGAACTTTCAAGGTCTGTCAGTCTCTCTCGGCCTAAAGAACACGACAGCTTCCTTTTAATTATTGAGTGGCTGGTTGGTGATGCCTCGTCCCAGCTGGCCAAGAGAGATCTCTGGGGCCAATCCGCATTTCCAAGTCTTTGCTCGGAGAAATATTCACAACTGTCAAAGCAACCAGCCATAAGCGGATGTCAAAAAAAAAAAAAAAAGACAAACAAGCTCCTCCAACACAGAATTGTGCTTCCATTAAAGCGTTTCAAATCATCTTTTTCACACACCCACATCCTGGAGGGTTTCTTATTTCACCACTCCCTCTGGCAATCTCTTACACCAGCAGAAGTTGTTAAAATCCACTGGATGACCAGATGTTTTGCAAGGAACCATAGCCTCTCTTTCAGGAAAAACACAACACATGGGCTATTTTTGTTTAATGCATCCAAACGCTTCTTCAAGTGGATATCAAATCTGCCATTTTGTCTAATGCATCCAAAACCGTTTCTTTGAGTGGATATCTTCCATTTCATTCACAGGCAAGATCTCCAGAGCTCTAGAAGTTGCCAGCCTTGTCTCATTTTGCTAACACAAGCCTCCCCAGTGCAAAAAAGCACACACACTCAAGCTGCACACCATGTAAGTGCAGATGTGAACTATGGGCTTTGCAAGACAAAACTCCTGCCCTTCAGCCATCAAGGAGAGAGAAAGGGATCAGACTGGATGAGATACACAACTAAAGCCAATGAGAAAAGGAAGAGGGGAGACCCACAATCACCAAGAATCGATTCATGTGTTCATTATGCACACTTCTATCTCACCCACTGGTGACAGGCTCCAGGTTGCAGAAAGTTGATTCACCCTAGGTCAGAAGTGTGCCTTTGGCCTCATCTGCACTGCAGAAATAATGCAGTTTGATACCACTATAACTACCATGGCTCCATCCAATGCATTTCTGGGATTTGTAGTTTGTTGTGGCACCAGAGCTCTCTGACACTGAAACATAAGTATCTCATGAAACTATAAGTCCCAGAATTCTATAGCATAGAGCCATGCAGTTAAATCGGTGTCGAAGTGCATTATTTATGCAGTACAGATGAGGCCCTAGTCAAGCTCTGTACTGGCTGGTAGAAATGCCTCTCCATGATTGCTGGACTGACTCTACTTAGGATTGAACCCAGGACCTTTCATACTAGTAAGGAAGCTCTGGAATTCCCTTCCCAGAGAAGTTAGATACTGGAACTCTCCTTGCTTTCTTTCCGCAGGCAGGGAAAGATGTTCCTTTTTAAAAAATTATTCCACCAGGCCATGGAAGGCTGATTGTTTGAAAGGATTTGTGCTGGATTTTCTATCTGCTGTTTTTAATCATTTAGGTTTTTAACAAGTCTTAACTTTAACTGCATTGTTTACTCCAGGCATTAACTGCACTGTTGACTCCAGACACGCTTCTGAAAGTCTGTGTCTCCTATCCTTCCAGTTGGAATGCTGCTAAAGCACTTTTAGTTAGAAAGAAGACAACAACAATGAACAAGGAGAGATGGGATTGTTTGTTGTTGTTAACTGCCTTCAAATGGACTTCCACTCATGGCGACCCCATGAATGAGGTGCTTCCAAGCCCCCCCATCCTCAACTGCTCTGCTCAGGTCTTGCAAACTCAGGGCCATGGCCTCTTGGGTTGTGTCTTTCCATCTGGTATGTGCTTTCCCCCTCTTTCTTTCCACCTTTCCTGGAGTTATTGTCTTTCCCAGTCAGTCGCATCTTCTCATGATGTGGCCAAAGTACGACGGCCTCAGTTTGTTCATCTTGGCTTCCAAGGAGAGTTCATACTTTATCTGTTCAAGGATCCATTTGTTTAACTTTTGGGGCATTCACAGTATCCTCAGCATTGTGAGGAGGTGGGGGAATACAAAGACTTTGTAAAAACACACACACACAACTTTTTCAGAATGCAAAGGGATCCTGAAGCACCTTTGAGCCAAACTGAAAGAAAGAAGTTGGTAGCATGAGCTTTCGTAGACTTGAGCTCATGGTACCAACTTCTTTCCTTCAATTAATCTCAAAGGTGCTACAAGATCCCTTGGCATACTGATTTTCCAGACTAACATGGCTATGTCTTTGAATTCTTTTCCAGAGGTATGCCAGAAATACCTTTAGAGTAACACTGCATGCCCATTTCCTAACCAAACTTTCCTATGGTACCAGCACACAAAGGGCCTGGAAGACACTTGGAACAATGAAGAAGCTCCTTTGAAGGGTCTGGAAAGGGG